CAAAACGCCAAAATAACTCAATAATAACACAAATGGGTTTGAAAATCCTAAATAATTGTTAAACGTAAAATTGTTTTAGAAAGCAAAATTCCATCAAAAGTTTCAATTGGTATACGAAAAATCTTTTGATTTTCGATTTATTTTAATTAATTTGTTATTAAAGGTGCCTGCATTTCTGCGACCCACCTGAGAGCAGCCTGTAACCCACACATCAAACAAATTCAAATATTCCTGGGTGACGTGACGCATGAGAGACAAAATACCAAAAATAATATAACACGTGGAAAAACATAAAAGAGTACAGACAATTCTATAGATTCTATCGTAAAGAACATTGGGCTGTAGTGTGTCCACCGTACGAAAAAAAATCGATCGCTGAAAGAGAAAGGATAACGGACTACACGCTGATGAAGATAAATGAGTTAAAGTTGTGAAGAACGTTGCTGTAACAGAACCATTCAAGAAGGAAATGAAATCTTGCGCATTTTCATGAACTTAATGATTAGTGCCTTAATAAGACGTTTCGCAAGCGTTTCGACTCTTGTAATATACAAGGATTCAACCATCCATATGTTTCGCAACTGCGGCCAATTAAAAAAAAATCGAATTGTTTACATTAAATTTCATTCAATTATCTTAATTTCCGTAATAAAATCAATGTATTTCACCCAGGTCGAAGAGACGAAGAAATAAAAGTAAATAGTTACAGAATGGCCGAAACGGCAATTTGTAAATTGTCAAGGTAATACGGCCATTCATTGAAAAGCCCCTGTAGAGCTAGTTGAAAAAAGAATGACCGCATTACCTTGACAATTTACAAATTGCCGTTTCGGCCATTCTGTAACTCTTTACTCCTATGGTAAATTCTAATCAGCAAACGTCAGTCTGTGCGTGAAACATGGTGTACATTTCCTTACCCTTTCACTCCTATGAAAATCCCATAAGATACTGTCAAGCTTTGTGTGAAGAGACGGCGGCTCACTGTTACCATGGTGGAGTGAAGAGATAGACAAATTCCGCTAGATTTCATGCATTTTTGAGCATGCAACCATATATCTGCTTTTCTTTCAAAGTTTTTTTTTTAAGCTTTTTGTTTGTATGCTATTGCGTTTTTTAAAGTTACCAAATCGATCATTAAGGTTCTACAAAGGGTCATTATTTTGTTTACTTCATCTGTTTTGAAATATTCTGCGATCATCATTTTCTAAATGTATTGGTAAAATTCATTGGAAGTGCATGTCCCCACGCCAAAACTGCCCATTTTTCATAAATATCAACTGGTATGGTGAGGAAAACTTAACCATCTCTTTTCTTCCTTCATTTCAATACAACAGCAAATGTGATGTCACATTATATAATGGATAAGAATGTAGCAGACAAAACATTCACACTGCCAGACTGCGGTGTATGCAAGTTTGTTTACATCCCAGAGCGGGAAAGTGAATACCAGGCTACGTGCACTGCTGCCATCAACCTTGTTAGTGTTGAATTCAATCTTCTGTGATTTTTTTTAATTGGACCGGTAAAATGTCTAAAATGGTCATTTATGTTTTATTTAATCAGTTTTTGATATTTATCCACCATTAAATACATTCACTTATGTATGTTAATGAGTCAGACTTCGTAATTATTTTTTTAATAAACTTAAATTCATCGCTAGAGGCAATACATTTGGCACCGCTGTTTCAATGATACTTTCACGCTAGCAAAGCAATAAAGTAGAAATGGTTTTCTTTGTGATAAATTTTGTTCACCAAGAGTTTTGTGAAGCAGTCGATTTGAGTTTCGTGTATTCGATTGCGTTTAATTGTGCTATACTTCGAAGAACACAAGTAAGTAAATACTGTGAATGTGTTTACCCAGGAAATTTTCGATCTAAAATCACGAAATACATGTTTTAAACTTTCGAATTCATAATGTATGAATGTATGTGTAAACTAATGATGATGATTTTGTGATATTTAAAAAAATAAGAAGAACACAAAATTACTTACCCTAGAAGTTTTATGAATGAAAGTCCTCCTGCAGTCATCCATTCACTGGGAAAAAATGCCCTTCGCTAGAGATCCATTTAAAATCATATTTACGGGCAAAGCAACTGACTCTGCACAACGTTTAACTTACTTAACCCCAAGGCTAGTTCTCGGCACTGCGATGAGCAATTATTATGATTCAGCCACCATTCAAAGGTATGTCTATCTACTTTCATATGTACTATATAGAAAACCGATTGAACCGATTATTTTTGATTATTTTTTTAACAGTTCATATTGAATCAAATTTGCACTGAAAAGTTTTAATGATCCTACAAGGTAAACAAAATTTACGTTTGTATCATTCCCAGGCAGATTTGAACACATTTATTTATTTATTTATTTTCAACAATGTTGCATTACAACGATAACGTAACAAAATAAACAAATAAGTTACTTTGTATCTCTTTCTTGACCTCTGACAGGAATATACCATCAACATAATGATAATTCTGCTGATTGATTTGCTGGGTGTCTGGATGAGCCAAAAAAATTATAATTTTCAAAAAGTGATTCTAGCGCTCTCTGAGTGTTTATAAAATTCATAGAATTATGATTAAAGTGGAGCTATCTCAAAAGCATATTGATTGGATTATCCGGTTGTCATAAAACACCCTTCCAGATATCCGGATTCACCGGAAAAGTGGTTTTAGGTCCTAAAACAGGCGTTGTTTAGAAGTCTTTGAACACATGCACATTTTACAGTGCTGTTCATACAGTGAATTGTCGCAATTTGAAGGGAGATAAACTAAGCAAACGAAGAGTTCAAAAGTAAGTAGCTTGATCCGAATGATTGTTTGCTCCAGACAGAAGCATGCGAACAAGGATTACAAGCGACTCAACAACCAACTGTACCATGCAGAGCAAGACCAGCTTCAGCGTCGTCTGAAATCAAATCCTAAGAAATTTTGGAACCATGTGAATGCCCTAAGAAAGGAAAGCGGACTACCCTCAAGTATGGCGAACGGCGTAGTGGAAGTTGACTCTATCGTGGGTATTGCCGACTTGTTTCGCACACAATTCAGCAGTGTTTTCAACGACGAACGACTTAGCACTGAGGATGTAATTGCTGTGTCTAGTAGCGTCTCTCCCTCAACCTTCTCCAGCCATCCATTTTCTTATGTTTATTGAATGTCTAGTAAGTAAGTACACTGTCATTGGGGTGAATATTTTACCTGTTGACCATAACATAAATAAATATAGCTTTGTGGAACATGTTAACCGTAAAAATGGAAATGGAAAAGTAAACACCTTTTTTATAGGAACTGTCCGCAAAAACCAAACGCCAAATATCATCAAAAGTGTACGTGATATGAACTGAGTGTCGTGGACAAAGCTGTCCACATCTTCTGTGAAGAAACCAACCTTGTAAACTGATAAAATAAATTATCTATCTCACTTTTAGGAGAATTAATCCGAAGCGCAATAGCATACAAAAAAAAAGCTGCGTGGAAGGCATCATAACTATAACATGTCTTATTATGGCACTAATCATTATGCACAAAAAAAATACATTTTCAACATCTTATGGTATACGAGATCAGTGAGGATTCGCTTGAGGTGATCCACTAAATGCTGAATTCTAAACGGTAACTATCTTTTTGCACATAATTCCAATCGATTTGTGGTCTACGACAAAGTTATTTGGCAATTTGTTTATTAAATTCTTGTTTCAGATATGGTTTGAGCAATATGTGAACTTTTGGCAACCAAACTCTTCCAAAAACTCAAATCGCAACGCAATATGTTCTAATTTTGCACAGATGTTAGGAACCTCAAGACAAATCGAATGAACAGTGGCGAAGAGAAGGTTTTTTTTCAGTTCACTTCCCTAAATCAATACCTTTTGTAGTGGTATGACGGTACACGAAATTTTACACTTATATAACTTCCTTTCATTTTATAAGCCTCAAGCAGTTCAAGGTTATACTGGATTTCTCTCATGGAGGATGGAACAAACCGATTGAAAGGCATGTTGCAACTATTCGAAATAATTTATCTCTAGCTAATTTGATAGATGGCTGGGGACACTATTGGCAAAAAATCGATAATTCATCAGTAGTCAAATAATCAAATAATTCATCAGTAGCTTTAAAAGCTGCATAGACAAAAATACGAAAGGTTTATGAAGCGCACAGATACATAACATATTGACCGAGGACAATTTAGTTAAAAGCAAATCAAATTTTGTCTGCTTTGAGATATGTGATTGAATTATTTGCATTAGGGGTCGTGCAAAAAAGGTGTAGCATTTTAAAGAGGAGCGGGTTGAGTGTAAAACTTGCGACGGGTCATATTACTTAATTTCAGGTAAATCCGCTAAAATAAAAAGTAGGGTCTGCAAATTGGAAAAGAATCGTTTTATCCGTATGACCTCTTATACGTTCATGGCAATATGGAAACAGGCTAGTAAATTGCTTTCGAAAGAAACGGTATGGAGATGAAATAGTATTAAATTGGTGAATCCTATCATGTTGAGCAAATTTCTGGGCACAGAACTGCTGACATCGAAATATATCTTGAAGAATGATTTTTCCACGGCTATCAGATAAAAGTTTTTCTGAGTTATTTATGATAATCTATTATGCAACTAACAGCTAAAGTTCACTGAACTCAATAGCAAGCCCCAGACATCGCCTATCAAACTCTAAATCGTTGGCAATCGAATCAGCCAGCGCATGCATGCAGCGGGTGCATGGTGGAATTGAATTTTAAAACCAGCCACTGACAAAGTCCGTGTCGTATCTTTGATCAAAATTTCCGTTCGATGTCGAGAATTTAAGAAAAATGCAAACACTGATGAATTTGACCTGACTCGGGCGACAAGTATCGGGTGTACCTATTTGTTTTTTTTTGTTTTGACACTTTTTACCTCCCAACCGTCCAATGCACCGTTTTTCATGGCAAAATGTCCCACAACGCACATATACAGAGCCGAAACCTAAAAGCAAACTTGGGTATATTTACCTTTTCGAGTGCGTTCCATCACAGAACACCGCTGTGATGTCGAATCTGTAGTTTTTGCGCTTTTCGCAATTCAGCGACTTTTTCGCTTTCAGTATACCCAGTTCATTGACTAGCTCGATCTGTAAATAAGAATGAAAGAAAAAATAAACGTTATGAGATTTATTTAATGGGGTTTTGGTAATGTATACCGTTCAGTTATTTGCGATTTCATGTGGAATATTTATGGCTTTATTAATGTTAACAGCAACACAAACATATCATTTTAAATAATATATAATAGGGTGGTTTACATCACTTCACACATTGATATTGATTTTGAAGCTAGTGCATTTAAACACATTTAGTTGCAACACGAAACTACACTAGCCTTTGATTGTTATGTGGGAATTATCATGGGAAAATACCATCGTATGGTAGGTGTACCAGTGATGGCTAAACGAACCTATTATGGTGTGATTCAATTATGGCCTATAGGAATTCCATGAGCCATAATAATAACACACCATAATATGAACGCATAGCCATGATTGGTGCATCTACCCTACGAGCCGCACACTATACTGTTCAATGGTTTTACTAACTATATCTACTTAAACTAGGTTTATTCAGCTACAAAATTGTTGTTTTAGTAGCCTCGATTTGGTGGCAGCTTTAATTTCGCCAAGTTCACTCATATTGGCTGTTTCTTCAATTGAATTGCAAATTTTTATGACAATGCATTAATCTTCAGAAAACTTGCTGTTGCTGAGAAAATGTAATCCGTAGAGCAGAATGGTGCAAGGACGATGATATCTAAAAGTTCACATTTCCCATAGTTTTCAAATAAGACTTGAATGGCTAATGCAGTTACAGACATTTGATTCAAACGTTTTGGGAAGATGGTCAGGATCTAATTCAAAATAGATTGCAATATGTGGAGCTATTTTGGGTTATTTGTACCACCCTAACAACAAATTCGATAAAATGTGTTTGAAGTCACAAATGATGATTAATTGAGCTTTAATATAATGAGAAAATAACTGAAGGATTTAATTTGAATTTATGATCAGTTGTAATTCATCATAACGTGCCAACAACGTGTATCCAACATATATGGGTATGGCTTACTCTCCCTGCTAACGAAATTCCATATCTCCCGTGACATTTATGAGAGGTTTTCTGCAGCTCTGCTATGTAAGTGTTCATCTAACAATCTTTTCTATCTCCACCAGGTGCAGAAACGTGGCTGGACAGTTCTCGATCCTTGGAGGTTGTATCGTTTCCATCTAAGATCTAAGATGTAGTTAAAAATCACTCTCGAAACTTTGCTACAGTGTTTAGAAATTTCCTAAATTACTCAGAACTTCTTTGAAAGTCCAGTAATTTCAGTGAAGTTCTTTTCTGAAGCTGATGTTAAAAATTAACTTATCAAACATTTGGCATTAAAGGGTTAAAACTCTCATTATTTCAGATAACATACCATCCATGCATACATGCTTAAGCAATGATTTATTGTTTTCATTTTTATTTGTTGTTTAGTCTGCTAATTAGTCTTTACAAACAGTTCAATAATTTGTTTGTATGCTTCCTTCATTATCCTCGTATTTTTTTTTCCAAAGACATACATTCTCACATTGGGGCCCCTGAAACCCTAGTCAGTTAAGGCAAGACATTACCAAGTCCGGAGGTGGTGGGTTCCATTCCAGGCCCGGTATAAGAAATATTTCGAGTTGGAAATTATCTTGACTTCTCAAGGCATACAGTATAATTGTGCTTGTCACACAATATACAAATTCAAGCATTGGTTAACATAGAAGGCTCTAAATTAATAACTGTGGAATTTTTTCGCGTCCAGATATCCCGGTAGGATGCTTGAAAAAAAGTGTTAAATTTTTTATAGGCCACCGCCAAGCTCGATTCATAACCCCAAAATACGAGCCTGTGCAAAAAACGGCAAATATTGATTAAGGTTTGGAGGTCACGCAAATAGTTCGAAATGGTAAGGGAATTATTATGGCAGAATTTTAAAAATCACTTGTATCGCCCTAACATTGATTCTACTGGTCAGAATTTTGCTATGACAATGATCAAAAAGCTTATTGTTGTGACGATCGGCATATCAAGAAAGATAAAGATGCGCCAACATAGCAAAATAGGGTAGATTGATAGATGAAAATGTGCACCAATTTCAGCAAAACGAAAATAGGCTTGTTAATCATTGTCATAACAGCCACATTTCATATTTTATGATCGTTTTAACAACTACAACCGAAGTTAGAGCAATGTAAGTGAAACTCAATAACTTCCCATAATAATTCTTCTAAATCTCCATACAAACTTTAATCCATTAGCGCGACCTTCATCAATATTTACCATTTTTTGCATAGACTCACATCCTGGGGTTTTGAATCAAACTAGAGCGTGGCCTATAAGATATTCAATTTTTGTTTTTAATTAGAGCACCACAGTTGACAGTTCGTGAGATTACTTTTAACCATTTTCTGCGGACTTCATGCTTTGCTAGTGGAGCTAAGTTTCCAAAAAAGGTGTCAGCGAATGAACATTTTATCAGAATTTTCCCAACCGTCAGAACGATAAAATCTAATTAAATGAGCAGAGACGGCATCTCTGTAATAACAACAAGCACGTTTTTCTGTCTACGCGGGGCCAAGACCTGATATCCAATGCAATCAGATTTAGATTTTACAAGTGGACGTAAATGGTACGACGGAGCTAATGAAACGACGAAGTACACGAAGCGGGAATATTATTTTGGCTGTTTTGTCACGGTAATCTTTTTTTTTTTGCATACTTTGGAGCATAGGAATGAATTTGGTTCCACAGAAATTGTTCTAAAGATATCTTATGTGGTGCAACACAGACAGCAGTTTTACAGGTGTTTCAGCTACATTCTTGGTTTAGTGCAGTTTAAAAATAATAGATATTTTTATTATCCCTTTGTCTGTACCTCTTAATAAAGTTCATTGCAAAAATCCTTCAAAACGGGTATTAAATAACATTCAAAAAACGTATCAAGAAGACTTTAGCATGCAAAAATGTCAGAGAAAGAATCGCTTTGATGAATAAACAAGATTACGAAAACTGCCTCAGGTCATATTGACCCCAAAATACAGACAAAGGGTTAATAGTGGCGTTTAAATAATAATCATACACACCTATAAAAATTGATGGTGTTTATTTAGGTGCTCTGAGACTGACATGTACGAGCGTCAATTTGGACATAAAATTGAGTCATAATAAACGCGAAGTTCAGCTCAATCAAACGTACTTTCGAACTTTTCAGTCTCGAAGCACTTAATTTTACATGACACGTTTGTTTACTTCTCATCCTTTATGTCAAAGATGGATTCCGTCACGTGTAAAATTTGGTATTTCTAAGTGTGCACGATTAACACCAGAAAATTAAGCATGCCCTAAATTTTTGGTAAGTCCTAAAAAAATCAGTGATGTTTGAATGTTAAGCGTGACTGCTTTCTCATCCCAGTGGTTCTGGGTTCAGTACCAGTCGAGGTCATTAGGATTTTCTGAGGTAACACATCTCTGGTCACGTCTTCCATTGGAATGGAAATAAAGCTGTTGGCCCCGGCCCACATGTTGAAGGGTTCAATATCTAGGTTCTAGCTGATGAGTTTCCTGTCGTTGGTGATTGGCGATACGTGCGGAACAGAGACCAAATAAGACTAAACATGAACATGAGCATGATTGATCGCCCATTAATGCAACTCCGTTATTACCAGATCAGCTGTAATTACACAGAAAACCAATAGACGTTGCTTGGGACTAGCAATCATCCTCAATGTGTAAATACTGGTGATCTAAAACTAGGCAATACCAGCAACAGCCACGTCCGAAGGCTGCTCAAGAAAGGAATGGGTAGGAATATGTTGACGTAAAACTCTCTTTAATGAAAGCCGAGAACACCCTTGCACTTCCACGAAAAATCACTGGGATGTTGGATAAAAGGATTGAGATTGCAATAGGATTCGTTTTGGTAAACGATTCAATAGCGCAAAGGAGCGTGGGATAGAATCCACGGTCTTCTGCTCCATACGCAAAATCGGTCGCCACTAGGCTGCCGAGCTGTTTATATCACAAAACAATTACGAACAAGTTTTTGTTCAACTTGTTGTTATCCCGGCGGTGACCTCACCAATGATGACGACAACAACTGCTCTTGAAAAGGAGATGGAATTCCGATCAATATGTTTTCCTAAAACTCAAATATTACTTATTATACATACCAGGCCCACTTCCGTAAATTCAACAACAAAGGTTAATATTATGGATATATTCAACAGATTGATTTTATCATCAGATCCAGTCATTTCACTAACCGATAGTGCATTGGGCAATCTTGCGCTACCAGGTAAAGCCAAGCAAATAATTTTTGAAAACTAGCTTTATTTGGTTTTTGTTTTTAGTTAAGTCAGTAGCATATAATTATTTGTAAATATAAATTTTTACTGTAAATCATCGATCTGGTTCTTTAATACTCAAAAGAAATCCGAACAATGTAGATTTATGGAATAAAAACCACTATTTTCAAAGTGGATTTATTTAAAAACAACAAAAATTACCTTCGCCAAAAGTTGCTTTTTAAAGTGACATGAAACACTATCGATTGTACTTGCGACATTTTGAAATGTAACGCTTCAAAGTTTGGCCTCAAAGACTACAAAACTGACGATAACTTTTGACAGAATACTTGTACTCGTAAAGTGTCTTTAAAGAAAATGTATATTTTATTATTAACTACAATCGCTCTGAACATAATAGGCCACAAAGGTGATGTTTAAAAAAATATGACATAAAAACTGATTTTTGGAATTTGTTTTCTTAAATGGCTTATATCTCCAAATAAAGAAGAGATAAACAAAAACGATGTTCTAAGAAGTTTTCAAGTTTTTTATAGTCCACAGCTTTGTAGAACATTTAATTTCTCTATACATTGAAATAAAAATAGTAAGATACCAAATTAGATACCTGGTAGAATTTGGCGTTTAGGACACTTTAGGGCAACCAACGCGAATAGAGCTCACAAGAAAATGTTTAGAAGACATCAATACGCTATCTCTAATATTTTTCGAGTTATTAATTTATTCCACCTAATTTTGCTTCC